AAGTGTGAGATGAGTCTGGCAATGTGTAATTGATAGAAATCGGTCAGGTGTTTTGGCCACTAATAAGTACTTATTGGCCCTTCAAGTACTTCTTACTTTACACTCATCCAGTCCGCCACGTTTGGCGCATGGAGGCACTCTGGTAGAAGAAACGAGACGAGTACAGTGGCACTTCAGAATCGGTCTTGAAGTTTTCGCTCTAGGCCTGCAAGTATAATTCCCAAAGAATGGTCCTCAACCTTATACTTCCTGATCTGCGAAAGTACTTGCCCGTTAAAGGTGAAACTTGGTGGACTTGAAGTCCTGGTTAGCGGCATGAAGTCTAACAAATACTGGGTGAACGCAAGTTGCGTAGACAGGAGATGTGAGAGGGAAGTTTGTATGGGACATGTGGGCGGGGCCTGTCTTTGACCCCAAAAACATGGCGTCAAAAAGCCCCACTCTCGCACCTACGACTATCCAGTCTAGTTATACGTAGTATATACATGTCTATAGAATTACATCATGCAACACCGGAAGCCATAGACTGGATCTCGACACTCCCAATTATCTTATAAATTATTTATCACTGTATAATCACAAAGTTGCTATTTTCCATACGAAAGAAGAATTGAATTATGAGACGGTCGAGTATAGATCACCTCACTTAACGTGGAATGATCCACTTCTAAGAAACTTTAATTCACCTCTATATGGGCATTGCATGACTTAGACAGGGGTGCTGAAAAAAAGCTGACATGCATCTCAACACCTTGTAACCGTCCAACGTCGATCGCGTAGTCGACGTAACATTTTTTTTTTGCGATAATGAAACTGTGTTTCTCCCATAGGAAACTGTAGAGCGTTTATTTTTAATCACCCTATATTTCCTTTTACCCATTCTCTCCGACTCTTTAGCAGCTATGCAACTGTCTTTTATTTTTGTCTCAGCAACGAGCTTTCAGGTATTCTTCTTAAGATTATATTCTTCAAGGAAGGGCATCGATCTCAGAAAATCCTATTTTTTCGCCTTAGATGTGAAAAGCATTAAGAATTCGTTTCGAATTACTGCAAATATTTCAATCCAATCATATTGGCGAAAAGCATGAAGAAGTTTAGTTTGGAAGACACGGATCTTCCCTTAGAGTACATGAGTTTAGGCAATGAGGCGTTCTGGAGGAATCTCACTGGAGGGATCTTACCGTCCCGGGAGCGAGGAGGAACCTTCACGCAGAGGATGGAGTGTCGATTTGCCTTTTCTCCATAGCCGACATACGCCAAAAAGCCTCCGAAGAAGGTCAAATGGGAGAAATACAAGAACACCACCGCCGTCCCTGCAGGATCAAATTCAAAATGGTGTATCGGTCAAGTTTACATTGGCTGCGATTCGCTAATGTGCATTTATTTAAAGAAAAGTTAATCACGGGCTTGTTGCTACCGAACAATATCGAAGCATGAGATTCCATAATTAGAGGTCTCGATACTCGTTTGAAAGAAGGGCCAACAACGCGATGGTAGTACGGTTGGAACGACGGGTGAACCTGTATACATGCAGAAGATGTAGATGCTGGGGATGTCCGTAAGAGCGCCGATGAGAAAACTCAAGCCGTCCGTGACGGAAGTGATCGTGACGGAAACAGCCGCTTCAGAATACGTCTCTCTCATCCGTTCTGCAACCGAGTTCCTCGGGTTTGTCCTTCTCCATGCTGCCACCAGCACGAACGTGTCGTCCAGCCCGATCCCTGATTCGTCCAGATATCTCAAGGTAAATGCGAGAAACGTAAGTCACGTCCCTAAAGGGGAATTCTTCGTGAGAGGTTCATGAAAGTTGCTCTCACGAAGAAATGGAATGACATGATTGCACTCATGGAAAATGCATTTCCCATAGGGATGAAATTTACCTAGTAGATAAAATTAATTCCTCCATTCTGCAAACGACGTCTGCATGTAAACGGGACTAACCTAGGATGAGGAAGGGAGCGATTTTATTGAGCCCGATGAAGGGGACTTGAAGATAGATGAGCAATCCCATGGAAGCCACAGTGGAGATGACGCTGGAGATGACGGCCATGATGGCCAAGCCCGGCTTCGATTCCACACAGTCCAGGCTCACGAGACTGAGCGACGAGAAGGCGATGAGAATCACGATCGCCGCTGTGACGAACGGGAGAATCTGCCGGAAACCCTTCTCCAATTGATCCGACGCCATCCGGGTGGTGAAGAAGTGAATGTCCAGGACTTGCATATCATTTTTCAGCTTGAGCAGTTCTTCCTCGGCTGCCACCATCCAATCGAGACCACTGCAGCATGCACATCAAGTTCAACTTGAAGTTTCGGTGATTGCAGTGGTAGCGACATCAGCTCTTTACTTTTTTCTCAATTTATATTACCTTCTATCGAATCATACATATGCCATTGAGATTGATATGCATTGCTTACTAATTCGATTCAAGAACAATTTAAATTAAACGAATATTTAAGGGAATATCAAGACACAATAAGCACAAAAACTAAGGATAAAATATTATTTTTCTTCGCCCTTGGGGGCTAACTTAATTATTATTATTATTCGTACGTCTCGGCCACACATACAGAGGAGAAAGGGGTGACAAACAAAAATAAACAAGAACAGCGAACAGAAACGGCACGGAAGGGTACACATTCGCGCATCACCAGCATAT